GGTGTTCTCCCCAGTGCCAGGGTTTTCATACGACACCAGGCAATACCCCCACTTCGTGGGGGGGCATTACAAGCTCTACCAAATATCCAAACGACTCTTCGCGACCACCCAAACCCAGCTTCCCGCCCTATGACGTTGGGACACTTCACTTCGTGGCGTGCGGACGACCGTGGCTACTACACTGGCGTGGGGTACACACCCACAGAACTTGGTCACTTATTCGGGGCGCGCATGTGCCCAGCATGGTGCAATTGTGCCATACAATACATAATACAGAGAGACAGAGAGAGAGACAGAGAGCAGACAGAGAGAGAGACAGAGAGAGCGGAGTTGGTCACATTTTTGGGTCAAGTTCCTGGGATGATGGGAATACACAGGTGTTTTTCGAGGACCTACGGTGCGATTCGTGTGATTTTATGATGCGCGGTGCTAAAATTCTTAAGAACCCAATGGTTTTTGGAGATTTCGGCGTGCGCGCGCAAAAAACGAATGTGTCCCGCATGGTATTATTTGACAGGGATGATGGCACAACAACAACAACAACAACAACAACAACAACAACAACAACAAAAACAAAAACAACAACAACAACAACTGTCCGCTCTTCCGCCCCAGGCAGGTCTGACATTGCTGCCGAATGGCATGTTCCCGGAGGCCTCTCTGGGAACACATCTGCGGCATGTTCCCAGAGAGGCCTTTCCGGGAACACTGTGGGATGGGGGTGGCCCGAGGCCGCGCAGCATGGCTGTACCCGCAATGGGCTCAAACAGGCAGTGGCATCTGGAAGAGCGTACAAGGCTGCGAGGCATCTCCTGGGGGCCTTCGGAAACGATTCAGGGCATGGAGGCAACGAACAAAATTCGCTCATATTGAACCCAACATTGATCCGAAATAAACGGGACTAAACGGAATTAAACGGGGTTGTTCTGGATTTGGCCCCCAACGTGAGGAGCACGCCACATTAAGCTCGATGGAATGGACGTTGAGACGAATTGGCACCTATGCAGCTAAGGATCAAGCCCGATTACGGCCAGATTCAGCAGGATATAGAAAATTTAAGCGGAAACATACCAGATTATGCCGGCCCTTGTCCACGGATCTACTGGCGCCGATTCTGATTTGAACCTCCCAGCACGCCTGGCCACATGGATATCTCCGTAACCATGTGCCGTGGTGAGTTCGAGCCCCCCCCGTCTAGAACCCACCATATGCGCACCCGAGGAACTATAATAACTTTTGGTCACGTGTTCCTGATGAGACCGCCGCCGCCGCCCCCTCGAGCCGCATTACCGCTGCGTTGGCTATGCGGAGCGATCTTCCGACCCCATCCAGTACGCCGACCCTATCTGGGCGGCCCAGATTGCTCCCGCACTCACGTGCGGCAACACCTTGCCATCTTGCTGGCTCTTGCGAATCGACGCTAATCAACGCTAGCCAGCGCTATTCGACGGTAACTCGACGCTAAGTCGGCGCTTTCTCATCGATTACCAGACGCTAGAGCACGCTGACGCAATGTAAAGACGCGAGGAAATACAAGGACCCTATGACTTGCCACCGAACCCGTCCTTGTTCGGCGACTCCGAAGGGTGTGGTTTGACAAGGGTCTGGTTTGCAACTGACACCCTGGAGAACACCCTGGGGGCGGGCGGGGACCTTGACAGAATCCTCCGCCGCGCCCCGAAAAGGCCCGCCCCGAACAGGCCCGACGAGGACAGTGCCGTGCCCCCCAGGCCCCACCAGCGCCGATCGCAAACCACACCCCTTGCATAATACGAAGCCAGGACGAAGATAAATTCGGGTAACGATTCAATCGGGAATCTCTGAGCTCCGGCGGCTCTGGAAGATGTATCGGGCGCCGCGGCTTCTCAGAACATAATTACGGGAACGCTCTGAGAGCGTTCTGGAACGCTCTGGCACGGAGCTCTCCTCGTCCCGGCCCCGTTCGATTGTGGCCGCCGCCCTGTTCCCACACGCACGCGCGGCGACAAGCCCCACCGCCGCGGTCCACCCCCGGGGCGCCCCGCCGCCCAGACGCAGGGCCCACGGCGCGCTCGGCCGCCCCGCTGGCGGGGCGGGCGGGCGGCCGCGCTCGGCCCCCGCGGCGCCGCGGCGGCTGCCACGCGGGCGCAGCGGCTGCTCGGCCGGCCCCCGTGCTGGGAGCGCGCGCTCTTTGCCGTCGGCCCTGGCCATGCCCAGTCCTCCGGCGTCTGGAAAGAGTCGAGGCGGCGGTGGTTCCGGGCTTTCGGCCACTGTGGGCCCTTGCGAGGCCTCGGGGCCGTCGGAAAACGGCTCGGGATGAAGAAACAATTCTGGGGAAGTGGTCGAGAGGACCTGGGCGGGTGTCTCAAGCAAGTCGTGGCGCCAGCTGTCTGGTGCCAGAAGGTTTACAGGCACGCCTGCGAAGCAGCATGAGGCAGCTGGGGGTGAGGAGGCCCGTCTGGCGCTATGACAGGACACCACTTCTCGGCCACATCGTGGCGGGTCCCAGGCAGGAAGTATTGCGATTCCACGTGACAGTGGCTATGTGCTCGTGTGTGTGTGTGTCTCGTACTCAGCACTTTGCTTGCTTGCTCGGCCCTGCTGCGTCGACCTCTGAGGTCCGGGCGTTGTATTGTTGTTCACGCCGGGCGTTTTTGTTGCCCGATCTCGGGCCCAGGGAACATCACAGATCGATCCGACTCGAAAAACGCCGCAGAAAAGGTGTGGCCTAGGGCTGCAGTCGTGATGTCTCGCGATGCCTCCACTCCTCGCCACGTCGGACCTCAGGGAGGGGGCCCTTTCCCAGCTTCCCATGCCCCCCTGGCGTCGTGAAACAATCCGGACGGACGGTTTGTTTTGCTGCTCGCCGCGCCCTGGGGCCGTCCAACAACGGCGCAGGACGAACAGCCGGGCCCGGAGAGTGGGTCGTCACGCCCGGGGCTCCGCGGCAGCCCGCCCACGTGCGGGGAGCGCGTGCTCTGTTGTTCCTGGCCCTGCTGCGTCGAGGGGCCGTCCCTGGGCAGGGCGACGAGATCTACACAGACTGCCACCCTCGACGAAAGTAGCCTTTAGATGTGTTATACGCAGTTTCCTTGCCCACGGGGCGAGATCGAGGAAGCGCGTCAAAAGCCCTGTTGAGGCTGCTTGTGCCGAGGGTCGTAGTGTCCACAGCGCCTGGCCAGGGCCCGCATCCTGGGCCCTGGCTTGGCCAGGGGGGCATGTGCACTGCTCCTGCGCCCAGGATGCGCCTGGCCCGGCGCCGTGGACATGCGCAAACCTCCTCGCCCCACGGGGCCGAGCTCTCCCGGCCTCCCCCCTCCCCGCTCAACGGCGCGCCCCGTCGATAGAGCTCACCTGCACGGGCCCCCTCCGACCCGCGCTGCGCGCCTCCTCCCTCGGGCGCGCGCTGAGATGGGCCACGGGTCCGTGGATTGGCGCGTGGGTGCCAGGCCCACAGGGGGCCCACGACCGTTGCACACCACCCCCACAAACAAGCTGCTCTGGCACAAGACCGTGGAGAGGGGGTTGGTTGTGCGCAAGATTAGCATCCCCTGGGGACACGATTTCTGTGTACGGCGGCCACAAATCGCCCCCCGGCACAGGTCGGGGGAAGCACCCCCCAGAAGCATGAGGCCAATACCACCCAGCTTGGCGACGAAGCGCGCCGAATCTGCACGGGATCGGGGCCAATCACCAATCCATGATTGCACTTGGATCCGTTCGGCCACAGCCGCTAATCCACTAAACGGGATCTTATTTGGGTGGTTGCATCGGATACTACTGATGACCAATCGGGGCCACTAATCCACTAATCCACGCGCCTGGATCCATGCTTGCGCTTCCTTGGCTCCCTGGATCCTGCTGCCGCCCTCCTTCTCCCCCCTCCGCCCCCTGCTGCCGCGGGCCGCGTCCCCCCTGGCAGGGAGCTCCGCCATGCGGCTCCAGCGGGGGCGTCCCCGATCGCGGGGCCCGCCAACTTCGGCGCGCCCCTCACGGGGACGCGCGAATACCCACTGACTCACCACAAGACCGTGCGCAAAACCGCGCGGTGACCCCGAATACCCACCGACTGGGGGCCCCCGCACATCGGCCTCCGGGGGCCGACCACGATACCCCCTGGAAGCCCGCAGACGGCCTCAAAAAGCACACGGGAGCCCTGAGAAGGCCTCCAAGAGGCCGCCCCTGAGGCCTCTAACAGGCCCTCAAGAAGCTCCGCAACAGACGCGGAGGAACAAGGGAGGACGCCAGAAACAGTTACACTCAGACAAGATGATGGGACGCGGCAAACAAGAAAGAGTATACGAAATCGGAGGCCGCACATCTCCTCATCTGAGGCTCGGCGGAATGCCGTAAGCCGCTTGAACATCGGCCTCCAGAGCCGATCTCGGGCATGGGGCCATTATGAGACGATCCGGGAGAGAACACTGGCCTCAGGGGTCGAGAGCCTCAGAGGGCCCACCGATGGAACTAAAAGTCCGCCAGGGGTCCAGGGAGAGCCGATTCCGAGACCCATCACAGCCACGAACCCACGCGCGAGTTGCGGCCGCGCGAACAACTGCTCGTAGCCTTCGGTTACGCGATGGGGCAGGTCAATCAGGCGCGGCGCCTGCGAGAGCGCGCAGCTGAGCTGGCTGGTCGGCGATGCGAACAGAAGAGCTGCTCCTCATGACTCCTCAGAGGCCCAGCTCGCTCCTCGGGCCGCACCCTGGCGCCCCGCTCGAGGCAGCTGCGCCTAGCCCTCCCTGCTCGCAACAGTCACGCCGCGGGCTCAGCTGCCCCAATTCGCAACATGCAACCCGTAGCGTGTTGCCACGGAGCTCAACACGTACATTGATTACGTAGATATGGAGCGATACGTCCGCCAAAACGTGGACCAACACGTGCGGAGCACACAGCGTGTTACCACTAACGTTTAAAACACGGCACGTGTTGCGTTTCAACATGGGCGTATCAGTGCAGCTAAGCCCCCAAAATCTCTGATGTCTGCCCTTTGCCACACATCAGGAAGAAGAGATCGGATCCCGCAATCAGGAAAGGCTGAGCCAGGTGGTCCGTGCGCAAGTAGAAGGCATAACGCCTCCACAACAATAACAACAATCATTTTAAGACTGTTCGCTCTGATCTGCGCGAGTGTGAGTTATGCGTATTTCTCAAACCCTCGATACCCGCCCTCTTCGTCTTCGATCGAACCCCTTTTGGGGGGTATACTTTTCTTCCCTGCAGGCCGGGCCCCGGCAAGCGGCGGGGCGGCCGCGGAACGTCGGCGTGGCCAGCGGCAGCGCTGATCGGCGGCAACCCGACCCCAAGAGGGACGGCTAGGGGACCGACCACGACGACGACGACGTAGACAACAACAACAACGACGGCTACGACGACGACGACGAGCGAAAGCGAGATCGAGAGAGAGAACGACAGCATGGCCACGAAGGGCACGAAGTAGGCCACGAAGGGCGACAGCGGGGACACGAAGGGAATGCGTATGGGGCCACAAAGAGCTCGAACGAGCGGGGGCCACGAAGGGCAGATAATGCGGGGCCACAGAAGGCAACGACGGGCCACTGAGGGCAGCAACTGGGCCACGTAGGACAGAGAGGGGGCCACAAAGGGCGACAGCGGGGCCACGAAGGGCATGCACATGGGGCCACGACGGACGCGAACGAGGGGGGGCCACGAAAGGCACACGTATATTGGGCCGCGGAGGGCAAGGACGGGGCCACTGAGGGCAGCAACGGGGCCACGTAGGACAGCGAGGGGGCCACGAAGGGCGACAGCGGGGAAACGAATGGCATGCGTATGGGGCCACGACGGGAGCGAACGAGCGGGGGCCACAAAGGGCATCGGAGGTTGGGGGGTGAGATCGCAGTGGAACGGAGACCCCCAACCGGGAAACCGTTTCGTTTCGTTCGTGTCGTGCGTGCGGGCGAGGCGAAGCTGCGTGGGCGCGCGAGAGGAATGAACCCGCCGTTGCTAGAGCGAAGTCAAAACAAATGATTATCCCCCTCTGGCCCGACGGGCGGTGGCCCTAGATGTCCCGCGGTGTCCCGTGGTGTCCAGTGGTGTCCGCTGCTGCTAGGGCGAAGTCAAGACAAATGATTATCCCCCACCCGTCCGTCCGTCCGTCCGTCCGTCCGGCGGTGGTTCACGGTGTCTCGCGGTGTCCCGTGGTGTCCCGTTGAGTGAGATCAATAATGAGATCGATCGTGAGATCGATACTGAGATCGATAGCGAGATCGGTAATAAGATCGATACTGAGATCGAGGTGGTGCCCCGAGGTGTCCCGTGGTGTCCCGTGGTGTCCCAAAATGTGAGATCGATAATGAGATCGATAATGAGATCGACAAGTGTCCCGTGGTGTCCCGTGGTGTCCCGTTGAGTGAGATCGATAGTGATATCGATAGTCATATCGTTACTGAGATCGACGTCGTGCCCCAAGGTGTCCCGTGGTGTCCCAAAAAATGAAATCGATAGTGAGATCGATGGTGAGATCGACAGGTTTCCCGTGGTGTCCTGTGGTGTCCCGTTGAATGGGATCGATAGTGAGACCGGTACTGAGATCGATACTGAGATCGATGTGGTGTCCCGTGGTGCCCCGTGGTGTTCTATTGTGTCCCGCTGAGTGAGATCGATAATGATCTTGATAGTGAGACCGATAATGAGATCGAGAGGTGTCCCGCGGTGACACCCGTGGTGGACCGTGGTGTCCCGTGGTGTCCCGTTGAGTGAGATCGATAGTGAGATCGCCAAAGTCCTGTGGTGTCCCGTGATGTCCCGTTGAGTGAGGTCGGTAGTGAGATCGATAGTGAGTGAGATCGACAACTGTCCCGTGGTGTCCCGTGGTGTCCCGTTGAATGAAAACGATAGTGAGATCGATTGAGTCAGGTGTTGGTTCCCCCCCTCTACCCCCCCTCCGACGCCCTCCTTATCACCCGAAGGGTGGTCGTATAGGTACATGTATCGAGCCACGAAGGGCAGCGTGGGGGCCACGAAGGGCTGCAACGTGGCCACCAAGGGCAGCGAGGGGGCCACGAAGGGCTGCAACGGGGCCACGAAGGGCATCGAGGGGGCCACGAGGGGTTGCAACGCTGCCACGAAGGGCAGCGAGGGGGCCACGAAGGGCTGCAACGGGGCCACGAAGGGCAGCGAGGGGGCCACGAAGGGCTGCAACGGGGCCACGAAGGGCAGCGAGGGGGCCACGAAGGGCTGCAACGGGGCCACGAAAGGCAGCGAGGGGGCCACGAAGGGCTGCAACGGGGCCACGAAGGGCAGCGAGGAGGCCACGAAGGGCTGCAACGGGGCCACGAAGGGCAGCGAGATCCCGATTCCTAAGTAATCAGCGAGAGAGTCCTAAGCGTGAGCGCGACTCCTGGGTGCCTAAGTGTCGGGAGCGCGGCGCTTGAGTAAATTGCGGGAAATTCCAAGCTAAGTAAATTGCAAGCAAGTCTCCAGCGAGAGCGCGACTCCAGAGCGCCGCGAAAGCGATTCCTGAATAAATTGTAAGGAAGTCCCACGCCAGAGCGCGATTCCGGAATAAAATGCGAAGAAGCCTCGGGCGGGAACGGGGTCCTGGCTAAATCGTGAGGAAGTGTCAGGCGGGAGCCGTTGTTGTTGTTGTTGAACATTATTTATTCTAAAGAATAATTATTGTTGGGCCCCCTGGTGCGCGCCCCCCCTGCGCCGCCTAGGCCGCAGCTACATTTTCATCATTTTCGTGAGGAAGCCTCAGAAAAGAGGGTGTGTACAGGATCCGGTTGTTTTGTTGTAATCCGCTTTCCCTTGCAAAAAACAATAGAAAATGACATTTCTTGTTCTAATATAATCAAATTTCAAGAATCCCTTGCAAAAAATAAGGTAAAGTGGACATTCGCGCGCGCAAGACGAAATCCTTCCAAAACCTTAGTGTTCGCAGCGATTTTAACATAAAAACATCAAAAAACCAATGGTTTTTCAACAAAAAATGTCAAAATCTCATCCCGCGCGCTCTTGCGGATTCGTAGGAAACCCAACACTTTTTAAACATTTCTGTCAAACGGGTTTTTGCGAGCAACTTTTTCGAACTTCTGCGACAACGGTTGCGCACCTGCCAGGGCCATCATCCCTGTCAAATAATACCATGCGGGACACATTCGTTTTTTCTTCGCGCGCGCACCCATGGATCTCCTGGCGCATTGGGCGTCCTGGCGGTACGCACGGGCGATGTATCCGTGAGGAGGCGTATCGGCACCATGCTTGGACACTTGGCCCCTGATGTATTTCTGCCAGGAGCCCAGCTGGCAGCATTGCGCCCCATCCGTGCCATCAGGGACGGGCGTATGCCAGAAGATGACGAGCACACGAACTCGTCTCTTTAGAGCCGCGGCGGGGAAAAGACGGTGGGTGGGCGTGCAAGCGCCGTTCCCGCCCCTCCTCTCTCTTCTCTCCTTTCCTCCTTGTCCTGCTCCTCCTCCTCCTCCTCCTCCGGCGGGGGGCGTGAGGATCCGGCATCGCTCACAACCATCGGGACAACCATCGGGACAACCATCGGAACAACCATCGGGACAACCATCGGGACAATCATCGGGACAGTCATCGGGACAACGATCGGGACAAGCACAACCATCAGGACAACCATCGGGACAATCATCGGGACAACGATCGGGACAACCACAACCATCAGGACAACCATCGGGACAACCATCGAGACAACCATCGGGACAACCATATCCTCTCTCTCTTGTGTATTCCCACATCCCTCAGGAATTTGCCCTAAAGATGTGATCAACTATCTTGTGAGTACGTATCATGTGTATCATGTGTATCATGTACCATATGCATCATATGCAACAGATGTTCTGTGGAAGGCTTAACAACTTCTGTGGGTTAACAAGGCTTAACAACTTCTGTGGGTGTACGAACGTAGGCTTAACAACTTCTGTGGGTGTGTACTCCACGCCAGTGTAGTAGCCACGGTCGTCCGCAGGCCACGAAGTGAAGTGTCCGAACGTCATAGGGCGGGAAGCTGGGTGTGGGTGGTGGCGAAGAGTCGTGTGGATATTTGGTAGAGCTTGCACTGCCCCCCCACAAAGTGGGGGTATTGGCTGGCGTCGCATGAAAACCCTGGCACTGGTGAGAACACTGAGCGTTCGGGTAAAGTGATTGTTGTTGTTGTTGTTGCTGCTGCTGCTGTTGTTGTTGCATTTTCAGTTCTGAAAAATAATTGTTGCTGATCCCCCCCCCCCACCGGTGCATACTGTTTTTTCTCAATCAAAAGTGTGCTCCTCGACGCTCGCACCTTGTTTTTTGACAAGGGAAAATTTTCCTGGTCAAACTGGGCCCCTGGCCCCCGGGTTACAACAACAACGGTTCCCGCCTGAGACTTCCTTACAATTTAGCCAGGACCCCCGCTCCCGCCCGAGACTATTTCGTATTTTATTCAGGAATCGCGCTCTCGCTTGGGACTTCCTTCTAATTTATTCAGGAATCGCTTTCCCGGCGCTCTGGAGTCGCGCTCTCGCTGGAGACTTGCTTGCAACTTACTGAAGAATAGCCTTGCGTTGGAATTTCATGCAATGTGCTGAAGCGCCGCGTTCCCGACACCCAGGCAGCCAGGAGTCGCGCCCGTTGTGGCCCCGTGTGCGTGCCCTTCGTGGCCCCGCTGTCGCCATTTGCGTCCCCTTCTCTGTCCTACGTGGCCCAGTTGCTACCCTCAGTGGCCCCATAGTTGCCTTCTGTGGCCCCGCATTATCTGCACTACGTGGCCACCGCTCGTTCGCGCTTTTTGTGACCCCATACGCATTCCCTTCGTGTCCCCGCTGTCGCATTTCGTGGCCTACTTCGTGCCCTTCGTTGCCCTGCTGTCGTTCTCTCTCGCTCTCGCTTTCGCTCTTCGTCGCCGTCGTCGTCGTCGTCGCCGTCGTCTTCGACGTCGTCGTCGTCGTCAACGTCGTCGTCGTGGTCGGTCCCCTGTCCGTCCCTCTTGGGGTCGGGTCGACGGTCCGCGGCCGCCCCGCCGATCAGCGCTGCCGCTGGCCACGCCGACGTTCCGCGGCCGCCCCGCCGCTTGCCGGGGCCCGGCCTGCAGGGAAGAAAAGTATACCCCCCAAAAGGGGTTCGATCGAAGACGAAGAGGGCGGGTATCGAGGGTTTGAGAAATACGCGTTATTGGACACTCGAGCCCATAAGGGCGAACAGTCTTAAAATTACTGTTGTTGTTGTTGTAAACCGGGGGCCAACAACGCAGCTTGAGGATGAAGATTTTCCCTGATATAAAATCGGGTGCGAGCGCCGGGAGGGGCACGTCAGTGGAAAAATATAATGCGCACCGGAGGGGGGATCAACAATAATTATTCAGTAGTGAGAGTTCAACAACGACAGCAACAATCATTGTACCCTCGTGCGCGATGTGTCCACACGACGCAGGCGACCATCATGATAACCATCCCCTATCATGGGGGACTCTTGTTCTATTCCCATTCCCAGATCTCCCGCTCAATGAGGTCTTGCGAACACCTCCTTCTAGGAATTTCAACATATCCCGTCTCGAAATCGCATGCCCGCGCCTTGCTGCGCCGATGCGATACCGCCAGTTGAGCCCCAGCCAAAAGTAAAGCACAAGGAAGTATCGAGCGACAGGATTGCCTTGGTGGGGATGGGGGCTGTCGGCGGCAAGGCAAGGACCTGGCCCTGAACAGAAAGGGAGGAAGTCTCGAGCAGAGTCACTATTATTGCTGGGAGCGGCGCCAATGCTGAAGAGAGTAGGGCGCTAGTCCAGTGTCAAACAAGACGAAGTCTCGAGCGGAAACGCTGATTTTGTTGGGACGCCGGTTGTCGGCGGCGAGGAGGAACACCGCCTTGAGTAAGAAGGGAGGAAGTCTCGAGCGGGAGCCGTGGTTTGGTTGGGACGGGGGCTGTCGGCGGCGAGGAACAGCACCGTCCTGAGGAAATAGGGAGGAAGCCTCGAGCGGGAGCGTTGTTCTTGCTGGGAACGGCGCCTATTCAAAAGAGAGTAGGGCGCCAGTCCAGCATAAAACGGGAGAAGTTTCGGGCGGGAGCGCTGGTTTTGTCGGGACGGCGGCTTTCGGCGGCGAGGAGGAGCACCGCCTTGAGCAAAAAGAGAGGAAGTCGCGAGCGGGGGCGGCGCTGATGAGAGAAACTAGCGCGCCAGTCCAAGGTAAAACGGGAGGAAGTCTCGAGCGGTATCGCTGGTTGGGACGGCGGCTTTCGGCGGCGAGCAAGAGCGCCGGCCCTGAGTAAAAAGGAGGAAGTCTCGAGCGGGAGCGTTGTTGATGTTGTTGTTGTTGTTGCTGTTGTTGTTGGTGTTGTTGGTGTTGTTGTTGTTGTTGCTGTTGCTGTTGCTGTTGCTGTTGTTGGTGGTGTTGTTGTTGTTGGTGTTGCTGCTGTTGTTGTTGCTGTTGTTGTTGTTGGTGTTGATGTTGTTGTTGTTGTTGTTGTTGTTGTTGTTGTTGTTGTTGTTGTTGTTGTTGTTGTTGAGGGGCCCGTTTTGGCGCCCCCCAAGACCGCTCGAGCGTGAGCCTCATTTTCAATGAAAATGTAGCCGGCGCCAAGGCGAGAGCGCCAAAGCGCCTGGGTGGGGTCCAACAATGATAACTGTTGATTCGTAACACTCAGCAACGACAACAACAACAACTGCCCGCTCTTCCGCCCCAGGCAGGTCTGACACTGCTACCGAATGGTATGTTCTCGGAGGCCTCTCTGGGAACACGGGCGTGTCAGAGCAGCTGAAGACGTGGGTGCTCAGGGCCGCGGGACGCGGCTCGAGGCATTCGCGCGCCCTCTTGCCTGCACCAGAGACGCCGCACTCGCTTCACCACCGCCAGCTTCGGCGGGCCGTCCGCCGGCACTCGCCGAAGAGAAGAAGCCAACCTTCCGAATCGTCCGTGACGAGTTATGCTCTGGACCGCCTCCAAGAAACATCAACAACAAAAAACTCTTGATTCGAGAGTTCGTCGGGGAGAGGTGCAATGTCCAAACGGGGATGCCAAATGCGGCTGCCAGGCGCGCCTTGCAAACTCGGCGTGGGCCATGGCATCCCGCTGGAGGAAGAACAGCTGGATCGGCACCTTGGCAGGGCATTGCCTAACTTCATGCTTCTGCTGCGCGCATTTGCGTGTGTGAATGAGGGAGGCGTTTCCGCTGCCGGCCAAGTCCGCGGTCAGGCCATTGTTTCATGTTTAGGGGTCAGCTCCTTTTGCTGAGCAGTACCAAGACTAGTAATGAGGGAGGGATATGAGACACTGTGCGAGGCATCAAGAGTACTGAAAACGTATGTGCGTCCATCGGGCACGGGTAGCAGCCGCAAATTTAAGGGGGGGCCTGAGAGGACCCCGAGGTGGGCTCCAGCAAGCCCGCGGTGAGAGAATACTGGCCACGGGAACCCCGAGTTGGATCGGAAAGGAACGGATGACGATGACGAAGAAGCGGAAGGAGCATTGCAAGAAATAGTGGAGATCATCGCCCGCCCAAGAAAAGAGGGATGTCGAGGGCTGGCCGCTCATCCTTCGCGTGCACCCTGTGAAAATACAGTGAAGCATCGCCATGGAAGCTCGCTTTTGCAAACGAGAGCTCGAGGATCTCACCACATGCCCCTGAAGGCACCGCCGCTTTCGCGTGATCACCCTCTCCCTGCAGCATCCTCATCCTCCCCGCCCTCTTCCCCCTCCACCCTCTGCGCTCTCAGCCCCCGCCTCCGCCTCGTCGTCGTCTTCGCCCCCTTTCGTCTTCCTCCTCCTCCTCCTCCTCCTCTCCCTTCTCCTCCCCCTCCTCTTCCCCCTCCTCCTCCTCCTCCTCCTTTTCCTCCTCCTCTTCTTCGTCTTCTTCTTCTTCTTCTTCTTCGTCTTCTTATGTTTCTTCTTCCTCCACCTCCTCCTCCGCCTCCTCCTCCTCCTCCTCCTTCGCCTCCTCTTCCTCCTCCTCCTCCTCCCCATCTTCCTGGCCCTCCCCCTCTTACCTGCCCCCAGGGCAGAGGCCGCCCGAGACGCGCGCCCAGCGACCGAGAGGCCAGCGTCGGCCCCCCCGTGCGGTCAACGCCACGGCCGCAGGCGCTGCTGCTGCTGCTGCGAAGGCTGCTGCGCCAGCTGCTGCGGCTGCGAGGGCAGCGCCGCCAGCTGCTGCGGCTGCGGCACCGCCGGCTGCTGCTGCGGCAGCTGCGGCTGCTGCGCGCCCTGCTGCTGTGCCTGCTGCCGGAGCGACGGCCGCTCCGAGGTCGACCCGTCCTCGGGGGGGCCGGCGTCTGGCGCGCGGCACGCCGTGCCATCGCTTGCCGCTGGTGAGTGTGTCTGTGTGCTTGTGTGGGTGGTATGTGGTTTGAGTGTGTCTGTGCGTATGTGTCTGTGTCTGTGTCTGTGTCTGTGTCTGTGCCTGTGTCTGTGTGTGTGTCTGTGTCTGTGTGTCTGTGTCTGTGTCTGTCTGTGTCTGCGTCTGCGTCTGCGTCTGCGTGCGTGCGTGTGTGTGTGTGCGTGTGCCTGTGTTTGTGTGTGTGTGTGTCTGTGTCTGTGTCTGTGTCTGTGTGTGCGTGTGCGTGTGCGTGTGCGTGTGCGTGTGCGTGTGCGTGTGCGTGTGCGTGTGCGTGTGCGTGTGCGTGTGCGTGTGCGTGTGCGTGTGCGTGTGCGTGTGCGTGTGCGTGTGCGTGTGCGTGTGCGTGTGCGTGTGCGTGTGCGTGTGCGTGTGCGTGTGCGTGTGCGTGTGCGTGTGCGTGTGCGTGTGCGTGTGCGTGTGCGTGTGTGTGTGTGTGTGTCTGCGTGTCTGTGTGTCTGTGTGTCTGTGTGTGCGTGCGTGCGTGTGTGCGTGCGTGCGTGCGTGTGTGCGTGTGTGCGTGCGTGTGTGCGTGTGTGTGTGTGTGTGCGTGCGTGCGTGCGTGCGTGCGTGATGTGTGAGTGCTTGCTGTGATGTGGTGCGTGCTGAGTGGATTATGTGTGTGCTTGCGTTTGTGTATGTGTTTGTGCATGGTGTGTTGTACTGGTTTGAATTGTGTTGTGCTGTAGTGCATTGTGTCGTGTTGTGTGTTGTGCGTGCGCCTGTGAGGGAGACTGTGTGTATGCGTGTGCGTGTGCGTGTTCGCGCGCGTGATCGTGTGCGTGTGCGTGTGTGCGTGTCTTTGCGTGTATGTGCGTGTTTTTCCTTTCAACGCAACTATACCCCATGAAGCGATGCCAACGTCTGATGCGTGACAGCTGAGACGACAGGCTGTCCTGCCGCAGGACCGTCCTTGCCCTGTCATACGGGGTGAAAACAAAACGCTGCCACGGAGGAGGGGGTGCGGAGAATGGAGGAAGAAACAAAACAATACCCTGAAATAGCGACCCGACGAATCTGCAATAGACGAGCCGAAACGCTTAGACAAAGACGCTTAAACAAGGACTGGGGGAACAGGCACACTTGAAGATCAAAAGAAACATATGGCGCAACTGGCCAAATCTACCAAAACACGCCAGGAAAGAGGAGATGGAGCAAGGGGGAGGCAGAAGAAGGAGGAATAGGAGGACAAGTGGTCTAGCCAGACAAGCTAGTCGAAGTCTAAAGACCCTCCCAACTCAGAGAACCGACGAGAACGTACGAAAGCCTCGAAACTCTACGCCCATGGTACCCCGCAGAGCCTATCCCCCCCTACTTAAAGTTGCCCCTCCTCCTCTCCCGCGAAGGGATGCCTGGGGCAGAGCCGCACCCAGCCGAAGCCACGAGGAGGCCTCCGAGACCCCGAAACGAGCGACGGCAAACAAAAAGCATCGAAGCTCGGCCCGACTCCTTTTGCAGAGTTTCCGCCTTCCCTCTTCCCTCCCTTGACCGTGTGGCGACCTCGAGCTCCCATGGGACACCTCACCGCGCGGTCCGTCCCCGCGCGGTTTTGAGGCCGCGGAGGCCGCGGTCGCCCGAGACGTCCTCGGAGAACGCTGCGAGTCCCAAAAGCGCGCGATGACCCCGAATCCCAACTGACTCAGCACGAAAAATTCTGGCCAGAGCGCACCCCGAAAAAGTCTCCAGGGGTCGATTTTTGAAACCCCTGGTCAGGAGCAATGTCAGGGCCGCGGATCGAGGTTTGCCTGAGGGCCAAGGTTTGAGGAGGGCCCGCGGTTCGAGGGAGGGAAGAGAGGAAGGGAAGGGAGGAGGGAGTCGGGGGACCGTGGCCATAACAAGGAGGGCGCGCCGCTGGATGTCCCCAGGGGGGGGGGGGGACCCTCCCTCCCCCCCTTTCCCCGATCCGTCGTCGGGGACCCCCCCCCCTCCCCCCCTTTCCCGATCCGTCGTCGGGGACCCCCACCCCCTCCCCCCCTTTCCCGGTCCGTCGTCGGGACCCCCCCCCCCTCCACCCCTTTAAAAAAGGGAGGGGGGGTCCGACCCCCCCCCCCCCCTCCCCCCCTTTGACCGCCAATCCGGCCCCCCCCTCATCCCCCCTTTCGCCACGGCGCCTCCGGTCTCCGGAACCCGACCCCTGCCACCCCTAACACAAATCCTCACCCTTACCCTAACCCCTAACCCGAAACCCAAACCCAAACCCTAGCCCCAAACAGCACTCACTACTCATGACGCACTACTCACTACCCACAAGTCACTACTCGCTACTCACCACTCACTTCTCGCTACTCACTACTCACTACTCACGACTCACTACTCACTACCCACGACTCACTACCCACCTACCCACTACTCACTACTCCCTACTCCCGATTCACTACTTTCTACTCACTACAAACTACTCACTACAAACTACTCACTACCCACTACCCACTACTCAATACTCACTACACACTAAACATAACCCACAACCCACTATCCACTAATCACAAAGCACTACGCACTACCCACTAACCACTATCCACTACTCACTACTCACAGTCCACTACTCGCTACTCACTGCCCGCAAGTCGGTACTCACTATCCACTACTCGATGCTCGTTACTCCCTACTCCCTACACGGTACTCACTAGTCACTACTCGCTACTCGCCACTCCATACGCCTAGTTGCTGCCCACGCGCACTATTCACCACCCACAACTCACTACTCACTACGCTCCAACTACTCACTACTCACTACTTCTTACCCCCTACTCACTACTCCCAACTCGTTACTCACCACTTGCTACCCAGTACTCAATACTCACTACTCACTAAACAGTACTCACTGCCCACTACTCACTACTCACTAACCACTACGCACCAACCACTAACCACTATCCACTTCATATTGCTGAGTACTCCAATACACTACTCAATACGCACTGCCCACAACTCACTACTCACTACCCGCGACTCGCTGTCCAATACGAAACAATTACTACCCACTACCCACTACTCGCTACTCACTACTCACTGCTCCTTCCTCCCTACTCACTAGCCACTAGTCGCAGGTCGCTACTCACTACTCATTCCTCACTACACACGACGCACTGCTCACAACTTTCTACTCGCTACTCCCTACTCATCACCCAGTACTCAATACCCACTTCTCGCTTCTCACTACTCACTACCTACTCACTACTCACTACTCCCTACTCACTACTCACTACTCGCTACTCCCTACTTGCTACGCACTACTCCCTACGCACCACTCACTACTGGTTCCTGCCTACTTCCTCTTCACTATTCACTGCCCTACTCGCTACTCACTCCTCACTACTCGCTACTCCCTATTCGCTACTCACTACTCGCTAGTCGCTACTCCCCACTCGCTACTCCCTACTCGCTACTCGCTCTTCGCTACTGTCTGTTCCCTCATCCCTACTCCCTGCTTACTACTCACGATGCACTACTCACTACACACTACTCACTCCTCACGACTCACTACTCACAACTCCTCATTCACTACTTCCCACTACTCACTACCAACTACCCACTACTCACTGTTCACTAATCTCTACGCACTACTCACGACCACCAGTACCCATTACCCACTACGCACGACTCACTGCGCACTACTCACTATCAAATACCCACTACTCACCAAGCGCTACTCAAAAAAACTCTACTCTCTACTCGCTACCCGAGAGGCCCCCTCCCCAGCCCCCTGTTCGGCGCAAAGGAGGGGAGGGGGAGGGATTCGACCCCCCCCCCCCCTTTTCTAGCGCCAAGGGGCGGGGGGTCGAAAATCTCCCCCCCCCCCCCTTTGAAGGGGGGATGGGGGGGGGGGGGTTCTGCGAGCATCCACCCCCCTTTTTGTGTATTCAGGGACATCCACTGGCGCGCTTTCCATAACAAAGCCACATCAGGACGATTATCAAAAACTTCCAGCCCCTGAGCCTAAGTATCCCTCAATAGCTCTCCTCCTCCCTCCGCTCGGGGCCGCCTTGACTTGGGCCCCCTGCGCTGCAGCCACTTACTCCTTACTCTCTGAAGACTGCAGCCTTCCGCTTCGTCGCTCCCTCCTCCCTTAGTTCCACATGTCGCCGCGCCGTGTTCTCGCCGCGCCCAGGTGAACGACGCCGACCCCACGGCAAGCCCTGCGTCCCGCGCCCCAGGTAGACGAAGCCGGCACCGCGGCAAGCACACGGCGAACCCACCGCGTCGGAGGCGGCGTTTGCCCTGGTGGCCGCGGCGCCCTCCCGAAGACCGACGGCCGCGCATCGGAACAGCTGGCGCAGCGACGTACCGTTGACGTCGCTCCCTCCTCCCTCCGCGCGGGGCCGCCGCCAACCGGGGCGGACGGGAGGCGGCGCGCCGCGCCTGGCGCCTCGCCAGCGCCAGCGACTTCCGCCAGTCCGTCAGGTTGCGCGGCGTGTCGCCGCTGCCGGTGCTGGCGGTGCCTCTGCCAGGGGGTGCAGCAGAGCGGGGACCATTTCGATTCGACCCTCCTCCTCTTCCTCCTCCTCCTCCTCCTCTTCCTCCTCCTCCTCCTCATCCTGTTTCCTGATGCCATGAGAGTGCTCTGCTCCTCCTCCTCCTCCCCATCCCCCTCCCCCTCCTCCGCCTCCTCCTCTTCCTTTTGCGCTGAGCGGACACAGCTGCTACGTTCAGCCTCTCCCATCTCCCCCTCCCCCTCCTTATCATCCTTATCCTCTCCTCCTCCTCCTTCTTCTCCTCCTCCATCTCTTTTCTTTACTGAGAACTCCCTCCTTGTCTCATCCCGAGGCTGGTTTAAAGGGCGGCCGGGCGTTTCGCCTGAGACTTCCTTATTATCTAGAATCCTGAAGTTTACCAGTTGGGAATTGCTTGACACATGGAGGGCGAGCTGTTTTCAAAATGTTGCTTGCTCTCGCCTCAGCGCCCAGCACACTCGTGTTAAAACCTTGCAAGAGCTTCGCATATCGAACAACAAGTGGTTTGCAACATGTGGCTCTCGCATGAGCGCCGCGCACATCCGTTTATAATACATGTTCAAGAGTTTCTCGAATCGAGGGCGGGTGGTTTTCAACATGTGGCTCTCGCCTAAGCGCCGCGCGCATTCGTCTTAAACCATTGAACGAGTTTCGCAGATTGAAAGAAGGTGGCTCTCAAAATGTGGCTCTCGCCTTAACGCCACGCGCATTCGTTTTTTTACCAGAAAAAACGTGCGAGAGTTGCACGGATTCCTATGATTGACGTCCCAGAAGAAATGTGTTTGGTAAAGGTTCAGGATTGCCAGGGCGAAACCGTTATGTTGATTCACGGTGTTGAAGTCCCAAGAATGACATTCTGGCACGATTCAGGGTTGTCAAGACGCAACAATGAGGTTGATCCGTGGCGTTGAAGTTCCGAGAACGGTGTATTGGTACGCTTCATCTAGATCTTCGAACGGCTCGCCCAACGGGGCACCTCGCTGTGAAAAACGGATGGATCCTTGTAGGGGCCTATGAAGAGGGAGCTTGGGGGGAGGGTATATCCGAACATCGATGGTTAGTCTTGGGTTTGCACTGGTCCTCCTCCTCCTCCTCCTCCTCCTGACCCAGGGGGGGCGTTTTGATCAAGAGGTCAAGGTGTGGGATCGAGGTCGATGAGTGAGGATCGAACGTTTTTGGCCGCCAAAGGCCGCCGTCGTCGAGGTCGTCGTCGCTTACCATTGCCGCCACCGCTGCCGTCGCCGCCGCCGTTTGCCCCGCCGCCGCCGTCGCTGCCACCGCTGTCATCGCCGCCGCAGCCGTCTTCATCGGCGCCGCCGTCGGTGCCAGCGCCGGCGGCGAGGACCGAGGATCGGGATACTGGGACGTCATCGGTCAAGAGATCGAGGTTGGAGATAGAGGTCAAGGATGAGAACCGAAATTTGGGGGCAACAAGGTTTGACTTCAACGGTTATACCGTTTCATCCGGCTGTTTTAAGAATGTACCCAGTGGGTTAAACTAGCCTGGCGAAGGACCCAACCATATGCGGCGGTGAGTACCGCAAGACAGATGGCAACACAGGGAGGGGGGTAGCCAAGGACGAAGGCGTGCGTGAGCAGAACGGAGCGACATTGTCGATTGGGTCGCAGAGGTCGGCCGTGACGGGCTACATCTGGATGCAGCCCATTATGGCTGAGCTGCGCGTCTGCCGGCACAGCTCTGGGGAGCAGCAGGCGGCGAGACCTCTGGTGGAGCACCCTCTTAGACCACGAAACGTGTGAAGGGTTCGCCGACATTGTCGCGGTCACGCATGCGAGTCCTGCCACTGGGGCCTTCGGCGGAGCTCCCTATAGGGCCACGAACCGTGTGAGGGGTGCGCCGAAATGTGCGCGGTCACGCATGTGACTCCTGCAATTGGGGCCTTCGGTGGAGCTCCCTATGGGACCACGACAGCATGCGGACCCTGGCAGGCGGCCTCAAATGAAGGGCCACGAAACGTGTGAGGGCTTCCCAGGAATGGTGTGAAGAAAGCACGCTCATGTAGCCACTGGGGCCTTAAGTGGAGCTCCCTATGGGGCCACGATGCGTGTCGTGGATGCGCCGAAACGATGTGAAGAAGGCATGCGAACGCAGCCACTGGGGTCTTAGGTGGAACTCCCTACGGGGCCACGCCACGTGTGAGGGGTGCACCAGAATCGTATGGAGAAGACGTGCGATTTTAGCAATTGGGGCCTCGGATGGAGCTTCCTCTGGGGCCACGGAATGTATGAGGGGTGCGCCGACATAGTGCGAAGAGAGCATCCGAACGCAGCCCCTTGGGCCTCAGGAAGAGCCCCCATTTGGGGCCACGAAACGTGTGAGGCATACGCCGACATCGTGCGGAGAAGGCATGCGAACGCAGCCGTTATAGTTTCTGCGGGGCTCCCGATGCCCTATGGGGCAACGAAACGTGTGACGGGTGCGCCAGATCGGTGGGCGGACGGTACACGCCGTCCCCCCTTCCCTGGGGAGTTTTTGTGCGGCTCCCTATGGGGCCACGAAGCGTGTGAAGAGTGTGCCAACATGGACACGCGGACGGCTGAGGCAGAGATGGGATGATGGAGGAGAGGAGGAGGCGAGAACGCGGGGCGCTGATGGTTCAAAACAAAGACCCAACACCACAAGATGGCCGGGAAAAAACTACGATTTGGAAATCGAAAAAACTTCTGCCCTCCTCCGACGTTCCGCTATGTGTGAGACGTGCGCCGACATGTGCTGGTGGACGCCAGCTCTCAACCCGAAGCCCTAGACGCAGGGCGGCAAGCAGTGGGCGCGGGCACTCCGTCTCCCAGAGCATGTCCCCCATACGCTGACCCCAGTCGTCATGCGCCGACGTCTGCCTTGCCAGGTGGAACACAATGTGGGATAGTACTATGAAGGAAAAACGGCATAAACATAAACATTTCTTGGATCCGCGCTGGGCCCCTGTCCCTGGCGCGCGGAGCGCGCCAGGGGCGGCGCCGGAGGCGGCCCAAGCGCCGATCCAAAAAAATCCGCGCGGAGCGCCAAAAGTCCATGTTTATGCCGCTTTTTCTTCTTCGGCCCTCTCCTGAGTTGCCCGCCCCCAATGCGATGCCATGTATAATCTACGGCGTTCGGGCAAGGACTCCTCCTCAAGCCTCAAGACATGCACGCCGGATGCGGGCCTCGGACCCTGCTGGTCGACGCGTGCGCTTCCATGCGTGGTTAAAGGTGAGACAACGACGGCTCGATCCCGCTGGGTGGGCACGCGACCTGCCAACCAACCGAGCGACTAGCCAACAAACCAATAGACCAACCAAACAACCAACCAACAAATCAACCAACCAACCAATCAATCAAGAAACCAACCGGCCAACCAAGCAACCAACGGGCCAGTCAACCAGCCAATCGGACAAGCAACCAACCAAACCGCCAACCAACCAATCAGCCTGCCAACATTCCTGAGGGTGTCTCACACGGCCGCTCTGGTAACGAATTGGTCAAACCGGAACAGATTTTGACCCTGAAATAACACATGGTACTCCCGAAACTGAGGATATGAACATGTGTTAACCCTTTGGATCGTACTTCGTCCGTCCACCAACCTTGCCGCGCGACGAATTCGAATAGAATTATGGTCGTCCCCTTTGCGCTGCCACATGACGAGAAGAATGGGATAATATATTTCCGCCCAGCCCCCCTCCTGCGTTGCCACGTGCCGAACACAGTAGACTAGTATTTGACTGCCCCCTCTGCGTTGCCACGTGACAGATAGAACGCATGTGTTTTGCTCAATGAATTGCCAACGTGTGAGCAGGGTGGAACCGCATTGCTTCCGCCCCCACCCCCCTCCAGCGTTGCCATGTGGTGGATCGCAAAGATGAGCATTTGTTTCGCCCCTCTGGGTTGCAAAATGAAGAGCAGTGGAATTAATTCACTGATCTGCTGATCTGCCCCACTGCATTACAACGTGGCGAATTAAGTAAAACAGTATGTTCTCAGCCCCTTTGCGTTGCCATGCGACGAGGAAGTGGGATGATGCGATCAGAAATGTAGTTCCCCCCACCCCACCCAACCCCTCCTGCGTTGCCACACGACGGATATTGCGCGCCAAGGTGGAATCATATGTTCCCGCTGCCCTGCATTGCCACGTGACGAATAGGAGTAGAATAGTATCTGCTCAACCCAATTACGTTGCCACGTGATGTGTAGTGTGGATTTGTTATGTGTTTCGCCTCGCTACGTCGCCACGTGGCGACTAGAGTCAAATGATGTTGACTCGCCCCCCTGCGTTGCCACGTGACGACTAAAGTAGAATAGTGTGTGTTCAGACCCTTGCGTTGCCACGTTACGAGCAAAGTGAAATCTTATCGCGCCCGCCCCTGGTGCATTGCCACGTGACGAACAAAGTAGGATACGATGATATCGTACCCTGTGGATTGCAACGTGACTTATAGCGTAGATGTGTATGTGCTTCGCCACTATGCTGACACGTGACGAATGTGTTTCGCCCTCCTGCGTTGCCTCGTGACGAAAAACGTAAGATGATATACGATTAGCCCCCCTGCTGTGGCCCGCGGCAACACCAATGAAATATAATGTGCTCTAACCGCCGGCTCTACCAAGTGAGGGAAATGATGAAATCATATGTTTCTCGCTCCTGCGCTACCACGTGACCTGCAGCGTAAGTGTTAAATCTGTTTCGCTTATTGCGCTACCACGTAGCGGATATAGCGGATATAGTAGAGACTACTATGTCAAGCTCAAGATTACAATGTGTGCTTCGGGCTTGAGTTACGAGAAAGTGTCAGGGCTGCGCATTGAAGATGGCATCGGGTGCTTTCCTTAGATTGAATGCTTATGGTCAGCGTTGGGGTGTGAGGGTCAGCGTGTAAGGGATTAGGTTGGTAGGACTTAAGCTTAGGGTGGGCGCTCAGAGTTTGGAGAGGTTGTTAGGGATGGGAGTACAGTTGCAGTGCTGGGGGTTCGGGTTTAGGCGGTAAGGGTAGGTTAAATGTTTGATGTCCGGCCAACCGACCGACCGACCAACCAACCGATCCACCAACCAACCGACTGACCAACCAGCCAACCAACCAGTAAACCGACCAAACAACCAGCCAACGAATCAACCAACCAACCAACAAATCAATCAACCAACAAACTGGCCAACCAACAAACCAACCAACCAATCCGCTGGCCAATCAACCAACCAACCGACCAGTTAAACAACGAACCAACCAACCAGCCAACAAACAGGCCAACCAATCAACCAACCAACAAACCAGTCAACCAGCCAATCTGGCAAGCAACCAGCCAACCCAGCACCCAACCAACCAGCCTGCCAGCATTTTGTGAGAATGTTTCACACGGTGGGCTCAGAAAGTCCGCCGGCCCCCTTGTGGGGCCACCAGGCTGTAGGACCGTGATTCGCAGTTTCCTGTACCAGTTGTAGCTTGTAGTTTCCAGTGTTACAGTTCTGCTTCTTGCTGGTTACTAATTGATTGACCGCGCGAGGGGGGGAGGCCCAAACGGTATTTTTAGCACCCCCTGGGCGCGTTGTCTGAATTGCTGGGGGGGCTCGAAATCGACACCCCTCACGCAGATCCGCGGGGTCAGGGTCCAAAAACACAGGGGATTTGCCACATTTTTGAAATTCGGTGCCACCCCTCACGCAGATCCGCGGGGTCAGGGTCCAAAAACACAGGGGATTTGCCACATTTCTGAAATTCGGTGCCACCCCTCACGCAGATCCGCGGGGTCAGGGTCCAAAAACACATGGGATTTGCTACATTTCTGAAATTCGGTGCCAGCCCTCATGCAGATCCGCGGGGTCAGGGTCCAAAAACACATGGGATTTGCCACATTTCTGAAATTCGGTGCCACCCCTCACGCAGATCCGCGGGGTCAGGGTCCAAAAACACATGGGATTTGCCACATTTCTGAAATTCGGTGCCACCCCTCACGCAGATCCGCGGGGTCAGGGTCCAAAAACACAGGGGATTTGCCACATTTCTGAAATTCGGTGCCACCCCTCACGCAGATCCGCGGGGTCAGGGTCCAAAAACACAGGGGATTTGCCACATTTTTGAAATTCGGTGCCACCCCTCACGCAGATCCGCGGGGTCAGGGTCCAAAAACACAGGGGATTTGCCACATTTCTGAAATTCGGTGCCACCCCTCACGCAGATCCGCGGGGTCAGGGTCCAAAAACACAGGGGATTTGCCAAATTTCTGAAACTCGGTGCCACCCCTCACGCACATCAATCGCAAGGCGTGGTAACCCAAACTGCGAGTACTCCCTCGGCCCTTTAATCCCAAGGTGTGGTAACCAAGCTCGTAAACCATACACGTCTTACCAATCGCCCTGTGTGGTAACCCCTCTTGTGATCAGTTGGTTTTGCCGATTGCGAATCGGCCTCGCATGAAGTTCCGATACTGCTGCACGACAGCGCCAAAGCCTCATGACTTAGCTCTTCCATGGCCCATTCTCCGAGAGAGGGGGCCGGCGGCAGGTGGCGAAGCCCTTACGGATAATTTCTTGTTACAATAATTAAACCATAACTTCTTGGTTTTGCTTAATTGTATATTCGTGTAGAAATGATAATCAAACAACCATGGCCGCCACCGCCGCTGGCGCTCTCGCCATCGCCGCGGCCGTCGCCGTCGTCGGCGGCCGTGCACGTGCAGCAATAGCAGATATAGAAGGAGCGCGCTGCGTCTTAACCATTATCAGGAGGTGATCAGTAGGGGGAGCTCTGGGGATAATCTACAACTGTCTGCTCACGCGCCGACGGGGACTGCTGTGAGATGTACTTTCAGCGAGCGGCCAAGGTAAACATATAAGATCAATCGAGCTTGCGCCACCAGTGGGCCATGAAAGAGTCGGAACACGTTTACGAACACAGTGAGCAGCACACAAGCTATGACTTGCTGTACCTGTAGAATTGCCTTGGTTAGCATATTCACCATGCGTATCACGCTAATCGACATAGGTTCACCCACCGCATGCACGGGCCCCAACCCATCATGAACATGTAGACCAACTACGGGAGCAATCCCGACAGGAAGCACACACAACTGTGTAGCACAGCACGCCGTCAGCCAATCACTCTTTTGGCGATTACAAACCATGGAGGCAAGATTTTGCGGGCGAGGAGGATAAACACAATTAATGTCCCAGAGTCCAGTCTTGATCCGAAGAAGCAGACATCGCCCTTGGAGCTCCACTGGGGGAACCGCAACTCGAAGGTGAAGCACTCGAGGCGGAGGGAAGAAGAAGAGGAACAAACCACAGAAGGCGCCCGCGGAATCCTCGACCAACCAAAAAATCCCGACCCCCCTTGCGCCTCTTCAAAGATGGAGCCCCGAGACATGAGGTCCTCAGGGCGAGGAGGCCATAAACAGTGCCAACTGCAACCCATCCCTATCCTTAGGGGGCCCATCCCCGCAGACCCCACCCTTCGACCCCGCATATGGCCTCCGCACCCTCCGGCTTACGCAAGCATCGTTACCAGGACGCTGTCCTCCATGGCGGCCCAATGAGCGCCAAGCGCAGCCGAGCACTTCGATCCTTGTCCTCGTCCCTCGATCCTCGTCCCTCGATCCTCGTCCCTCGATCCTCGGTTCTCGATCCTTGTCCTCGTCCCTCGTCCCTTGATCCTCAAACCTTGAACCTCGTCCTCGTCTCTCGATCTTCGATCCTCGAACCTCGATCCTCGAACCTCCATCCTCGAACGTCGACCTTCGCCCTCGACCCTCATCCCTCGAATCTCGATTCTCGAATCTCGACCCTCGATCCTCGCCCTCTGAACCCCCCCTGGGCAGCAGCCGCAGGGGACGCCAGAACTGGAGGCCTCCCAACTGGGGGTCGGAGCAGATGGGGACTGAGGATCGCGCCGCACCCCCGATGCACCGCCGATGCGTCGGCAACGCTGGCGGTTCATCGGCGACGTCGGCGTGGAGAAGCTCGGGCCCCACGCCGAGCCGCACCGCCGATGCACCTGGGGAAACGCAAAGGTACCGATACCGCTACTCCACGGCCCTCTCCTGGGGCGCGATCTGACCAGAATTTCGAGGCGCATCCAGCGGCATGGACGCCCTCTCCTCCTCTGAGCGGCGCGGTCATCCGACCACATCGGCTCGGAGCCCCACCCGGGAGGCCTGACGGAGCGGCCCCTCGGGCGGGGCCCGGCGAAGGCCTGCGCTGGCCGTGGCGCCCCAGCCGTCCGCGCTGCTCCCCCCGCGCCGGGGTGGCGCGGTCCTGAGCGATGGCGCGCCGGCCGCGGGGTCTCCGAGCGCCGAGGGTCGGCGCCGAGGGAGCCAGATCTTGTGATGGGCCGATCTTCCGCCACCACTAACCCATGGGCAGGAAGGGGGAGATGGGAGGATGGGGGGGCCATCCTCCTCCTCCTCCTCCTCCTCCTCCTCCTCCTCCTCCTTTTCCTTCTCCTCCTCCTCCTCCTCCTCCTCCTCCTCCTCCTCTACCCAAACCGTCCAGGAGAAGGGAGGGCCCTCGAACTCTACCCTCCGAAAGCTCCTTGGCGCGGCCACGTCAGCCGCACCATGTTTCCCCGCCCTCCTGCACTGATGGACCCTCGAGGTTCTTCTCCGCCGCGTCGCGCCGCGCGGCCCCTCTTCCCCTCCCGCCCCCCGCCCCCGCTCTCCCCCTCCAGCTGCTGCTGCCGCGCTGCCATGCTGCATGATGCCCTGCCGCTGCTGCTGCTGCTGCCCTGCCCTGCCCTGCCCTGCCCTGCCCTGCCCTGCCCTGCCCTGCAGGCTGCTGTCGCAAAAAACTTTCAGGGCGCTGCTGCTGCGGCTGCTGCTGGCCCCTGCTGCCGTAGCTGCCCGCGTGTCCGCCCGCGTGTCCGCCCGCATGATCCCCCCTTCACCGCGACCGCACTCCTCCGTCCTCCGCAGATATGCGCGCAAGTCGCCCAGCAGTGCCCCCGCTCAGGCTACGGACGCGGTGCGCGATCGCATCGCTGCGACCCACCCGTGTGGGCCCGCACGCCCACCTCAGCACGCCCACCACCCGGATCGTGCCCCACAAAGGACCTCCGCCTGCGGCCCGCACGTCCGTAGACGTGCACCGCCCCCCGCCGCAGTTCGGCACACCCCTCGGGCTCCACGTGTGCGGCTACAGGAGAAGCCTGCTGCTCCACCTCCTCCCCCTTCCTCACCCTCGCAGCTCATCCTTCTCCCCCCGCCGTTGGAGGGAGAGACACGGCGACAACGGAAGCAGCGACGACGGCGCAGCGACGAAGGAGCTGACGACGACGAATCTCGGCAGCGACAATGATAACGACGACGAAAACGGCGGCGGCGACGACGGAGGCTGCACCGCCGCCGCCGTCTTCTCTGTTTCCGTCGCCGTCGTCCCGCCATCGCTGGGAGGGGTTCGAAGTATACACCACGTCGTCTGGTCGACCAGGAAGCTCGGTGTATGCACGCCCGAGCGTCCCAAGCTCTGGGATGCTCGAGCGTCTCTACACCGAACCCCTTCGCTCAAATACATGGCTCCTTGGCCGACCAATCGGCGTAGTGTACGGGCAGGAACTGTTGCTAAGAGTGCCGTGGCGGCGGCCCTGGCGACACGCTGCCTTGCGAGCGGGTAGCATGTCGCTCCGCTCCGCGGGCCAGCAGGCTGGGAGAGCCTCTGACCGGTGACGCCTGGCGACTGGGACGCGGTTAGGGTGTCGCGCCGAAGCGACTCGGGACAGAACGGCCAGCTCGACACGCTGGGTAGAAGTTCCCGACCGTATAAATCAAGCCTCTCCGAGTCGCTGCGCCGCCGCCGTCGCCATTCTCGTCACCAGCCCCATGCTCCCGACTTGGCAATGTTTCACCACGTGGACCCCAGAGATCTGGACCCCTTCCCAAGGACCAGCTTCTCGTCCTGAGTCGTTTTTGACGGCCCCAAGGCCCAACGAAGGCCCCTGGAGGCCGAGAATCACCAAAAACATTCCGACATGTTTTTCACGACGCCCTCCAGCTCTCCGCCGACCGTTCGGGACGATCCGTGGACCACCTGTACGCTCTCGTCGAGGCGCAGCTCCTGGAGAGCATCCCGAGATTGGAAAACCGCCCGGACCCAGCGAAAACGCCCGCAAACCTCGAACCCCGAACCTCGAACCTGTCGTCCCCCCTTCGAGTCGCCGCGGTCGTCGCCATTTCTCGTAACCGTGCTCGACGCCGCCGTCGCCGGCTGGGGCGCCGGCCCGAACGCTCGCAGCACTGGGCTCTGCAGCAGCGGGGGCGTGACGCTGCCGCGCGTGGGGCGGCTGGGAGAGGCCAGCACCGAGGGCGCCGAGGGCGAC